AATACGATTTTGATGCAACTATAAACTTTATATACGCGTGTGTATATTTTCTATCTAACTTCTAGAGTTTCGAATCGTGGGTTTGAACTCGGTATACGTCTGTTTATTAAAATCGTAGTTTTCAACATCTCGCGAGCTGGTGGAATCCTTAATTCTGCATTACCAGAAACGATCGAAGGTAGCCAGCTCCGCATAACTTACGAGGAATTTACATTATATTCGTACATTCCGGTAGACGAACGAAACGAGAGAGAGAGGAACTTTGCGCGCGATGCCTGAATCCATAATTATCTTTCTTTGAAGTTGTCACTGATTATACGTGTTTCTCGTATTTTCCATGTCTTTTATTTGTCGCGGAATTTTTCACGGAGAAATCAAATTACAACTGATAAAATCGACCGAAGGAATGTAAACCTCTGGCACGCCGCGAGTCATTCATTCGGTGCTCTCGTATTTCTCGCATTTTTGGTACCGCGGATTTTATCCGTAAACGAATAAAGACATAGATGTACACGTACAGGTACGTGTGTGTACGTATATAATATATATCGGTGCAACGGGGATGTAAATCAATTCGCTTCCATCAATTTTGCCGTCCGTATACAGGGTGTCCGGTAACTAACGGACGAATGATTAAGGCGGATTCTCTGGCCAATTTGGAGACGATTTTTCCTTAGCAAAAACGTTGAGAAGTCAATAATTTTCGAGTTATAAGCGATTGAAAAAAATGGGTTTTTTTGAAAACTAAACGTTTTGGAGTTAAAAGTCTAACATAATTACATTCTTCGGTTAATTTCAGGTAGAGTTTACTATAACAAAATTTTAATTTGAGGCTTAGTTATAAAGTTACATAATGACAAATATTGGAAAGTTTCGAAAAATGATGACATTTTCGCTGAGGAAAAATCGTTCCAAAATTGACCAAAGAATCCATTTGTAATCGTTGGTCCGTTAGTTATCGGACACCGTGTATATATATATATAAATTTTTTAAAAAATATTCTTATTAGATATTTTTAGCATGCAAGAATGTATACCTAATAGGATGTTTTTTTATCAATGTATTATTTGAAATTATTAATCGTGATTACAAAAACAATCTTACAAATAAATATTTATTATTTATTATATATTTAAACATATAATTAAATATTTTTTATGTATTTACATAGTTAAATACACTTTTATATACATATATATACAATATATTACACTTTATAATATCTTTTACTAAAATAGGAAATAATCTTAATTTAAGAGGAAAATTCTTCTTAAACACCAAATTCTTAAAAAATGATGACCTTTTTCGACATTTTCGCTGAGGAAAAATCGTTCCCAAATTGACCAAAGAATCCATATGTAATCGTTGGTCCGTTAGTTACCGGACACCCTGTATAACTACGTCGCTGTTTAATGTCTTCCTCTCAACTTTGTTTCCTCTCTCGTAAGTTCTCCTTGTTCGGATATAAAACTCGCGAAAGGCGTGTCCTCTCTCTTATCCGCACTTTCTTTCTCGTACTTTTCATCTATTTTTCATTGTTGTGTTCGCGCGGTGGACCGTGAAAAGCTGTGAAAAAAAAAACAAAGAGAAAGTCGAGCCTTACTTTGTCATTAGGAAGAAAATTACCGTCTCTACGTTAACTCTCTCGTGGTCATCGCCTAAATTGCTTGTTGAAACTCATTAAAAGGAATTCCACACACGAGGCACGGCATCGAATATCGACGCGAGCTAGAGAGAATTGTGCGAGATAATATACAATATTTCGTGAGCGATTTAATTGTATCATCGATCATCGGTTGATACTATTCGCAAAATTCGTCTCTTTCCATCATAGTAAGACACTTTTTCTCTCGCCAGCCTCACGCAAATATTATCCCTTTAATTGAGTCAAATGTCTCTTTTGTGTGGGATAAGAAGAAAATATTTACTTATAATTCAATTCTGTATTTATGGTAATTTTTTATTCTAATATTATTCAGCGAAAAAAAGTTTTCAATTATTATATTTATTTATCTATATAGACGAGAATATGTCCGAAATCGTTTAATTGAGATTTCATACCGAATTGTGTTAAATCTTTGTTTTTCTTTTTGCAAGAATCTCTCAAGTTTATTAAAGTACGCACGTCATTTTTTGTCCTGATAAAATATTTAAAAATCAATTGTTATGGCATCGAAAGGAACTTGTATATCGCGCGCACTTCTATCCATATATGACGTCGCCAGATGTCAGTGATAAATTTGACGTTGTTCCTTTATCGTTGTCGGGATGTACAATATTTTCTGGTCGTCACATTGATATCACTGTACCACACTACACGTTCATCTGACCTGTCGCGTGCTCATAAATCACTTTATTTCTAGTGTCGGTGTCATCAAAATCCACTGCAACATATATTACGAATTAATAATATGTGGCAGTCAAATTAACCGATTAAATTGTAATTGCAGCAAACTGTCTAGAGTCCAAAAAGATTACTTTAATGAGACTCTCCGATTAAATTCCACCCACGTTTGATGGCATATCACGTTTTGGAGCTAACCACATACGTTGTAATAATTTAATGTTTGAAAGTCAATTTTCATTGTACTGTTTGTTTAATTTAATGACAGAAAGAAAGAAGGAGAGAGAAAGAGGAGGAAAGAGAAACCCGCAATGATTTGGATACGTTGTAACTCTGTAACCTTTAATAGTAATAATAATGAGCAACTATTTATCGGCCAATAATTGCGTGACATTAATATTATCTATTACTGCACAATCGAATGAGAATTTATCGTATTTGTCTGTTAAATAGTCGGGTCAAACTGATGATTAGTTCAACGTGTTACATTAATTGTTTGACTATTTCATTTTGTTACTCGCGTGATTACTTTTACAAATATAATGTAACAATATACACGATGTAGTAAATTCTAATTGCACATACAGACACAAACAGGGACTATATCTACAGGAGGATTACAATAATATAGGTCAAAATAATTAAACGCGTATCGGTAAAATTTGATATTATGGGCGATTTAATTTTCATTTGCTCGCATTTTTTCCACCATTTAAAGATTCATTATATAATTTTTGCGATCAGCGATTTTTATGAATAGCAAATCCTGCACTGGGATTGAAAAAGATAGTAAACAGTTTTTAACAAGTTTTCTCATGTGGGACCAATTCTTTATTATTACGAACTTTGTGCACTTTGTGTAAACAGAATTTTTTATCAAGCTTGTTTGTATACATGGTGTATCCTGCAATTTGGGAGTATAATTTTAACGACCTGTCCGCCGATAAAGTAGACGATCCATCTTGGATGAAAACGTCATTAATATTTTTCATAATTTCTCAATTTTACGTGTCATGTAGCTCTTTACAAGTAAGTTCCAAGTTCAAATATCTTGGAGAAAAATTGTTAAGCAAACTTAACTGAAGAAAATGATTCTTTCATCTTTATCTTGCAGTCATTGCTCTCGGAAACTTTAAAAAATTTGCTAAAGATCCTGCAAACTATGTTTAATGTGTGTGTTTAACTCACAACTTTGGAAAATTATCCCAACATTAAAAGAGTTAATATTGAACTTTGCCTTAATCGGATTACGTCACGTGTTTTCTTTCTACAAATCTCCTATAATAAACGCTTTATGGAAAATGTATTTAACATATAATTTAGTTAATTTTAATCATTTTCTCTTCTTCAAATCCATATATAATTACATATTTTTGATATATCGGCCGATCGCTTGTCGGGTTCTTAAATTTTCTAATTCCACATACAAATAGATTATAATAATGGCAACAAAAATGAATGTTAAAAGAAGAGAGGGAGAGAGAAAGATGTGTAAGAAATATCGCGTTAAATATTCAACTCGTCAGATACCTCGTCGACTGGAACTTTCATAAAAGTGCTCTAGTGCGAGATTAGATTAGCCGATTGAAATTCGTCGGAACGAGGAAATTATGTGGGCTGCTGTATCAAGATCGTTGGAGATACTCGTTGCCTTCTTCGAATACTACACTACCAGGTAAGATCCTATTTGCGCGTATTTTTTTAAAAACGAGACGCGTTTCACATACGATGAACACCTACGCCACGATTTTCCGCAGTTCGTTATTTGGCGCGATAATAGAAAAATCTGTATATATATATAGGTATAATTTATACAAAGTCGGATTAAGGTTTATCGAATTTTTTGTGACATATGATATTTGCAGAATATACATATATGTGAAAAGCAGATTACAAAGAATGGGAAACAATTTAAGGGATGGCACAGTTGGAAATAAAAGTATTATACAATATAAATGCATTTATGTATCTTTTATAAATTTAGTGTTTTTATATAGAAATTTAAATCGAATTTTCTTCTTACTTTCTACGTCAATTTTTAATCTAACATCTACTTAGCTATTCTTTAAGCAGTTAGATCTCATTCTTCTTTAAAACTATTTATAGTTTCATAAGCTTTTCTTTCAAATCTCTAAGTGAGAAATTGTTTGTTTATTGTCTATTTAAAATGCAAAATAGAATTTTCTAAACTTAATCTGTTCAAATTCTCTAGAATTAGTAAATGCGAGAAAATTTAGATTGAAAATAGGAGCCCACAATTTTGACTCGACAAAAACCAGGATTTTTTTTTTAATAAAGTCATCTCATAAAAAATTAATGCTTGTTAAAAAATTTAGGTTTGTTTTAATTTACAAAGCTGAATTTATAAAAAAAGGACACATATAGATATAGTTTTACATTGTTTACATCGATTTTCAATGAAAAACTATTTTTTCCAAATATACTATCTCTAATATTTCTATGAAACATATTCGCCATTTTTTTAAAACTCACCAGCGAAATTCTCCCGTCTTTAACGAACAGAGTCGGGGTATAGTTTGTTTTTTCATAACGTGACCTTGCACGAAGGCGAGCTTCTATGTCGGACATAAACATGGATGATGAAATAGCCACGCGCCGGAAAGGTTTTGAAAGAGATGCCTTTCATCGTTTTCTCCGCGACGTTTTTAGTCGCGCTTTTATAAGCAGAAAATGTGCGCGCGATGGGGTAGAGGTTAAGGGTGACGGAAGTACGCGTATCATAGCGTTTCCGTTTCCTCTCGCGGGATGCCTCGTCGAGAGCAACTTCGGAATATCCATCGGCGGCGGCTGTTCTCGATTTGAAAATATCCGAGAGGGAATTCCTGAAGGAACGATCTCACGTGACACTCAGCTGGAAAGCTGTCGTCTCCGTTTTCAGTAGCGCCAGAGGTCATTTCTGCTCTCTCTCCGAATATCCCGGAACGTCGTTTCTCGACCTGACATAAGACAGAAATGGGAAAATTGCCGAATTTGCTCGCCATTTGCGCCGCTTTTTCTCTCGGTTCATATTATATATATATATATTTTTTTTTCTTTGCCAAAACACGTCCGACGTAATAACAGCGTATATTTTAGCGAAATTGTTGGATATGTTCCGCGAAAACGGTGCCAGGTTGTTGCAATATTAAGGACAATTTTCGAAATAAACACTTATGGCGCATTTATTACTTTTAATTTTTTATACCTCCTATTACGCGGAGTATCTTTGCTATTTTTGACGATATGGAACAGGAATTGCAGAGAGAATTTTCCTTCAAAGGGATAAGCAAAGCATAATTAAAGACCTTCTTTTTGAAATTGCAAAAGAGTCAGCCTGTTTTTAGTTGAAAAATTGTCACTTGCTGAGAGAACATTTTTCTGTACAATTCTTGTTTTTATTCAATTAACATTTTTATTTAATTATGATCGAGTGTTTCACATTTTTCTTTTTTGTGTCGTAATATTGCATATGAAATATTTTGAGAATTATTTTGGAATGGCAGAATTTTGTGTCGGCCGAATTATACTGCTAAGATAATATCGCCAGCAACGATTCAGCAACAGATTGGATGCACACGTGTGCAAACTAGAATAATAACGTCGTTAAATTAATCATGCATTGTCGTCGGGACACGTTAGGGAATAACGAACAGATGACGCGACGAACCAAATCGAAATTACGGTAAATAAATCGAGAATTGAATGATTTTGTGACATTATATAATTAATATTTGACATGTTTTTATACGAAAGATTGACTGGGCTTTATTTATCGAGAATTTTATCAAAGTCGATAAAAAAGGAAAAACGGTTTCGTATTTCGGGAAAATTTGTTTTAACTTATTGTTAGTAGGAGATAAATATAAATACGAATGAGATTATATATGATAATATTGTAATTATATATGATTTTAGTTTTTCAAATCTTATTGATAATTAGAATGTAATTTTCTTATTATAATTCCATTAAGATTTTTTATTATCGTAATTTTGCAATTTGCAATTTAATCCATTCTAAAATTATATCGTAAATGCACGATATAAAAAGAAAATTCGTTTAATATTAATAAGGAAATTTCTCTTTCAGAGATCATTTTTGTAATTAGGTTAAATTAATATTTAAGAGAATTTATTTGTTCGCTGCGCTTTCTGGAAAAACTTTTTCAGCAGGAATTAATTCGTGATTTTATATTTCGACTCAATTGCAGCAAGGTATAAATAAATAAAATTGCAAATAAAAGTATAGTGAAATTCAACTAATTGGGAAAGTTAAAAATACAACTCGTTATGTGACAATCGGCACACACATATTTGTTCACAATTTATTCTTATATATCAATTATTACTTATAGAACTAACTTTTATAAGAGGTTTATGAGACTTACTGCTGGCTTTTCGCGTGTGTTAAATGAGAACGGTAGCGTATATATATCTATACATATATATATGCTATTCTCGTTCTTATATACTGTACTTCACTTGTAACTTTATCGATTGACTTGTTGGAGAGCGTACACATGTGTGTCTGCACGCAGGGTTTTTAATTTCCTGAAAATACCATGTCGGGATAATATAAACCTCTCCTCATTTTTATGCACCAAGCAATTATATATTATGCAAGTCTGTACTTTACATAAATGAAACATTAATCTCTTATAAATAATTTTTATTACCTCGCCATGTCGACACATATTTTAATCAATCCAGAGTAATTAATACATGTAAAAGAAAATATATATTTTTGTTAATCAGACATATACAATGTAACTAAAAAAAAAAATATAAATATGATGTTGTTTAAATCGGCCAACAGAGCCAAAGCACGAAAATTAATTATTCGGAACTGTATCTCTTGGTTTGAGATCACTAAGTTCCATATATAAATTAATCTCGAAACTTACATATGGAGAAATAGGCGCGAAAAATATATATATATATATACATATTCATATATAAAAATACATATATGTCTGACAATGCGAGATTCTAGATTCGATTCAGATTTGCGAATCGCGAGATATTTGACCTATAAAATCTCCATTTAAATATTTGACGGATTGCTCACAGAGATCTCCCTTATACAAAGTTGAAACTCAAAGATAAATTGAACCTGTAGCTTCGAAATCGATATCAAAACTGGCCGGCTATAGATAATGATCCCACGAAAGTCCGTTAGAGTAAAACAAATAATATCAAGCGCGTTCTATTATTGATTTTCTCGTATATGTATGCGAGCACCTCTATCTTTAATATGCTAACCTATGTCTCTAAACCAAGAGAGAGAGAGAGAGAGAGAGAGAGAGAGGAAGTGAAACACATGTTGTCCCGGTTGATTTAATATCAAAACTTTCATGATATCGTCCGTGAGATCGCATATTGTATTCCGTAGTGTTGTTCATTTATCAGCACACGTAACCACCTATTTTCATTGCTTGAGAGTTATACTATACTGAATTCCTAGCACACAAATATGCATATATATATACACACACGGAGTGGCGTAATTCCGCAATAATGCGAAGTCAAATGTGGCTATTGAATATCGATAGGCATTTCAGGGTCGCAGACCCTAAAAGCTAATATTATTAAGAAATTAATGCGTATGTTGACCACTCGAGGCAAGTGATCGATACAGACCTGTAAACACATGATAAAGTGCCTGGGATCAGTTATTCTACATCACACTGATTCGAAGAACGTAATCTCTTTCTACTCGAGAGAGCGTTTTTCCGAGAAATTTAAATAAATTGAAAATTGACGACGTATCGCCGTATAATAATACAATAATGTCTTATCAGAATTCCGCACGCGTTGCTCTCTTCCTCTCTTTCCGAAGAAAGTAATCGTGAGCATTGATACAATGATAATGAGATATATTTTTCCCTCGTCTCGTCGTTGTTTATTTCTTTAGGAAATTTACATAATTTTTACACGTCTCGTGAACAAAGTTACATGTACGCAAGTTTGAGCAAACTTTAACGCCTTTTAATATGATCGATATAATTTGTATATCGTGCGAGATGATGGACTATTGTATACAAATCAGGGATAAATTAGAGAATAATAGAGATAATTTTAACGCCTCGCAATTATGAGAAGCGTATCGACATTAATAAAATTATTATACAGCTTTGTTTTCATTTCTATATATATATATGTCTTCTGTATCTAACAAAACTTTCCGCTTTAATAAACGAGAGAGAGAAATGGCAATTAACTCTGAATACTCCAAGTATTTAAACTTCTTCGTACTCGGTTTAGCTAGACATTGTGTAAAGGATGTTATCACTTGTCTAACTACGTACAATACAATTTACAATTTACAACTATTGCGTTGTCTCACGACACTTTTTGACGGTATCGCATTACTTCTGTTATAAGTATAGGTGAAAATGATAATTGAAATTAATCTGACAGTTGGAAACTGTGTCATATTAATCGTGTTACAAATGCACGCATTTCTGTCTTTCCTTCTTTGTATGTGGATATCTATATTATACATATATAATACATCTATATATCTTCTCTCTATCTTAATTTAAGATATTGTTTTACGACGTTTTAATGTGTTATGTGTGTTGTCTCCGAAATATTGTGTTGGCGCAAACATTGTGTTCTCTCCTTATTCTCTGTCCGAACTTTGTTTCGAACACTTTCTCTGAAAAGTGTCATCTGTGTACATGTGCACGTTCGGTTAATTAATTAATCACTGATCTCTTTTTCTGTTTCATGCCCCTCGTTTCGATCGGGAACCTCGCAGAGCGCAATTAGAGTAAGTATATATATGAGCGACATCTAGCGTGCGAGATTTTAAAATAAAAGTGTGCGACACTTGAAGAAGGCTCTTTTATACTCGATATACATACGCATATCTCACATCAGCTCTGCTTAACTCTTTTCCTCCTGTCTTCTTTTCCGATCTATCTCTCTTCTTTCGAAGTACACTGTACATCGATCGTAAGTAGTTGTACTTCTATCACAACTTTCTCGTTTTCTTATGACGATGACATGGGAACCTAACCTCGATGATCGTGTCACGTCGTTTCCGTTGTTTGTGTAATTCTACTTCTCCATCTGTCTACTTTCTCGATCTGTCATCTATCAGTTCGCTATTGTGTTTCTTATAATCTGCGAGAATATATATAGCATATATATATATACTATATATATATATATATATATATATATATATTGCTTTTCTATTCTCTTCAAGTCCTCATTTCGATCGATCGGCTTATTGGATTTATCTCTTCGTTCTTTTTCTCTGGGAATAAGTTTTGTTTCTCTTCGCCTGTACAAATACACGATATACATATACATATAAATACAGTGCCTGCAATCGTAGATACGATAGATCTTGTTTATACGGTCGGCAGTTCGTTGAACCAACAGCTTCTACAAAATCAATGTTCGACGTAGATATGAAATTTTCCGTTTTTCGAGTTTTTAATTCGAAATCCATATACTCGCATCAGGAAAGAATATCGAATACAAATAAAATTGATAGTATAATATGTAAAAATATATTTAATATCTTATTTCTATGTGGAAAATATAATCTTGTGTGCACATGTAATATTAAGATCTGCGCAGAAATATAATTCGAAAGGTGAATATCCAAAGAGAGAGAATATTTTATAAATTATTTTTTTAGCTCCAGGAAGAAAAATATTTCGACTAATTAATAATTTGTGAAATTAATTATAATCGTAAGGAATCTGTGAAATTTTATATCTCGGCTAGAAACACGATGTTTTTCAAATGGTAAACATTTTTATCACTACAATAAATACCGCTTATAAATGACAAGAGATGTCTACCTTTCTTGATATGATAAAAATGCCCCATGATCTCCCTCTCATCTCTTGAGCAAACAATATTTCGAGACTTATGTCTATTGCAATATTTATCTGATCTTTCAATACAAACTGAATCTTGTATATTTTTAATTTTATCTTTTCGAAAATATAATTTTAATTAATATATGGATCAATGAGATTTCCGAGTGATTAAAATCACATTAAACGTGATGTTATTGTAATTGAGAATTTTTAATTCGGCACAAAAATTCATTATTATGTATCTAATCAAAAATGATATAAATATGTATAATGTCGTATTTCGGTGTTTCCATTTTTTAACCGCGAAACTTCGGTGACGGACGGTCATTTAAATGCAAACCGCTGGTGCATCTCGCGATGCATCTTTCTATACATCGATAGCATCCGAGTACTCTGCGCGGATTTCTTTCTCATTTTTATTTATGAGTTATGAATAGAGGTTCGCGGTAAATAAGAGAACTTACCGCGAATCCGGTAAAATACTCTCACTGCGAGACCTTTCTTTAATCGGATAAAAAATAAAAAGGAAATTTATACGGACGTATACCTTTTTCCCTTTATGTGTATATTGCGTTTACGTGCGAAATGTAACATTTTCTGCTTTTAGCAACGTGATATCACGTTAGATTGTATTTTTTATGATATCTTATAAATAACGTCGATGTCGAACATATTTGTCGAATAATGTAATAAATTTGCGCGGATTATTTAAACATATACTATAAATTCGAGCTTACGAAAATGGTAGCCGAGCAAAGGTAACAGATGTAAAAAATTTAAATTAGTGCTGTATTAATTAGCAATTAATTAATTATATTAGCAAAGGTGTAAGCCATTTATTGTGTCCTCAAGAAGAAAAATTTATTTATTTCATCAGAAATCGATAAACGATAGCATTAGCTTGCATAAATATGCAGTAAAACGTGCCATATTATTCTTTGATATACATTTAGAGGAATAGGATATCTCAAAACTATCGAATGTCCTTTAATAACAGATTCTCTGGCCAATTTGGACTCTGGATTTTTCTTTAGCAAAAATATCGAGGGAGATCAGAATTTTTTGCAGTTGAAGCTTTCAATTTTTCCCCATCATATACCTTTGTTGATTAAACTTTTTTTAATTAAAATTGTATTAAAGTAAATTTTACTTGAGATTAACCGTGGAAACTAATTTTATTAACCCTTTGATTCCATAAAAATTTCGTTTATGAAAAGCCCTCTTTTCCAATTTCGCTTATAATCAAATTATCACAAATTATTGATGCCTCGTGTTTTTCTCCGAGGAAAATCCGTCTCCAAATTGAGCAATGTAGTAAAAACATTTTCAAACATTGACAACAAAAGAGAAATGACGAGGAAAGAGATCGACATTCTTTTTCTCCTAAAAGAAACCTAATAATTATTTTTTCTATTCAGTAGAACGAGTGCATTTTAGCGTGTTTTGGTACCAAACAATCTCAGCTTGCATACATATCGATTTTTTTTCACACACATACATACATACGTGCTGTGCATTTATTTTTCCTTCTTGCCGCGGCTTCTACAATAATTATGAACGCTTCGCGACTGTGAGTAGTAAACAGCAACTATTAATACGAACCGTCGACATGACGTGTATCGGCTTGCGTGCTTGAGAGAGAGAGAGAGAGAAAACGATGCACCGATTAGCGATACATGTACCTGCATAGGTGTAGGTCGCAATAGATGCGACAGAGAGTAGATTGAGCGATAAGACTTATCTAGATCTTATTGTTAGAGTTATCGCCTATTGCGCCCTTAACGTAACGTGTAACGTCATCGAGACGTCGTATCGCTAAAATATACATATATACAGGGTGTAACCGAACAAACATGTACACCATCAAATTCTCCGGCCAATTTGGAGACGATTTTTCCCTCAGTGAAAATATGTCAAGGCATCAATAATTTTCAAGTTATAATGATTGAAAAAGAAGAGCTTTTTATAAATTAAACTTTGTAAATGTCAAATATTAACCAAACATTTTTTCATTAATTTTAGATAATTTACTTTAATAGTATTTTTATTTAAGGCTCAATTACAAAGATACATAATGGTAAAAATTGGGAACATGCAAAAATGATGACCTCATCCTCTGATATTTTCGATATTTGAGGAAAAATCGTTTCCAAATAGGCCACAAAATCTGATCTGTATACATATGCTTTTTCAGTTACACTCTGTATATACCCTAGGTTGTTGATAAGCCTGTGCATGAACGAGGGTGGACGAACGAGAGAGGCCAGTACATACACAGAGGCAAATTTCACGTCAATCAGGTTATATATAGTGTGTTGTCACTCGACAACGATGACAATGTTTGTCTCGTTAAACAGAATCGGCATATTCGCGATGCCGAGTTAACGTATCGAAAAACGGAAATGCAGCGAGAGATTTTGTCGACGATAAGCAGATTATAAGTGTCATTAGAAATATACGGCTTTGCGCATCAAATGGAATCGAGTATTGGATCGATAATCGCTCTCTGTGTATTTTTTTTTCACACTTTTCAATCTATAGGATCGAAGTATTTACGATATTTTTTCGAGGATTGTAATGAATTGAATGCAGTGTAAAAATCTTGGGATGAATAACGAGGATATTTGTAAAACTGCCTCTATCGTTCCCTTGTTGACAAGAATTTTTGCGCAAGATTATCGTGAGACTTGCTTTTTCTAGTAAATAGTCTATCTAGTTATTGATTGTGATGTAACAAAAACGAATAGTGTGTCTCATATTCCAATTAGAAATTTTTGCGACAGAGTAAAAATATAGGTCGATGAAAATAAGTTTTTTAAATCTAAAGAAGAGTAATCGTTTTCCACGTCTTTTTCCATGCCGAATATAATTTCGATTATCAAAATTCATAATTAACATAATATAATTTATAATATAATATTATAAATTTATAATATATAATTTATAATTTATAATATAATATTATAAATTTATAATATAATATATTTTCAATTGATTAATATAAATATAAATTCTATGAATATTAATAAGACTTTTCTCATGTTTTTTCTACAATTTCATTTTATGATTTCTTGAAAGTTGCGATCATTTCTGAGAACTAAAAACCAACTGTGACGGAACGATTATTCCTTTTCTTATAAATTCTCTCAATTAACCGTGTAATTAGAAGATAATGAAACGGATAAAATCGGGTTTGTTTTAGCGACGTGGTAGCTTTCTGTCGCAGAGAGAAGCAAAGGACGCCGGGAATACATATAATCGGGCAGCTAGAGACGACCGTAATTCTCGTGGAAATCTAACGTGCAAAAATAACGCTGACGAATCTCACGTGTATTTTTCAGGACGACCGGCAGTCCCGCGAGCAAATCCCCGGCAGGTGGTAGCGGAGGACCCGCGAGTGGCGGCGGAGCTACTGGAGCGACAGCGGCGCCAGGAAGCGGCGCCAGCAATGCCGGAAGTGTGGAACCCCGCACACCGACCGCCGGGCCGCAGAACAAGCAGCTGCAGAATGTCAAAGGAGAACACCCCTCGGTAAAGACAGCCTTAAGGCTTTTAGATCTTTCGCCCTCTATTAGGGGGATTAGGGAAAAAGAGAGGATAAGATGACACGTGGTTCTTCCGCAGGTGGTAGACAATTGACTTTAATTAATAAAAGAAATAAATCTCTCGTTTTTTTTTTGCGTCTTCTCAAACCTGGATGTTCAGCTATAATTAGTATCATTTAGGGTTAGAACTAGGGCTTCTAGATTTTTTGCCCTTGATTGGGGAAAAAGAGAGGATAAGATGACACGTGGTTCTTCCGCAGGTGGTAGACAATTGACTTTAATTAATAAAAGAAATAAATCTCTCGCTTTTTTTTTGCGTCTTCTCAAACCTGGATGTTCAGCTATAATTAGTATCATTTAGGGTTAAATTTAGGGCTTCTAGATTTTTTGCCCTCGATTAGGAAAAAGAGAGGATAAGATGACACGTCTTCCCGCAGGTGGTAGACAATTGATTTTAATTAATAAAAAAATTAATCGTTTTTTTGCGTCTTCTCAAACCTGAATGTTCAACTGTGAGCAGCATCATTTAGGGTTAAATTTAGGGCTTCTAGATTTTTTGCCCTCGATTAGGGAAAAAGAGAGGATAAGATGACACGTGGTTCTTCCGCAGGTGGTAGACAATTGACTTTAATTAATAAAAGAAATAAATCTCTCGCTTTTTTTTTGCGTCTTCTCAAACCTGGATGTTCAGCTATAATTAGTATCATTTAGGGTTAAATTTAGGGCTTCTAGATTTTTTGCCCTCGATTAGGGAAAAAGAGAGGATAAGATGACACGTCTTCCCGCAGGTGGTAGACAATTGATTTTAATTAATAAAAAATAAATCGTTTTTTTGCGTCTTCTCAAACCTGAATGTTCAACTGTGAGCAGCATCATTTAGGGTTAGATCTAGGGCTTCTAGATTTTTTGCCCTCGATTAGGAAAAAAGAGAGGATAAGATGACACGTCTTCCCGCAGGTGGTAGACAATTGATTTTAATTAATAAAAAAATTAATCGTTTTTTTGCGTCTTCTCAAACTTGGATGTTCAACTATAAGCAGCATCATTTAGGGTTAGATCTAGGACTTCTACACGGAGAGAATTTTTCCTTAAAATTTATCCTGAAAATCATGGTAATTGTGCGACAATACGGTATTGGAAGAATCTTATAAGAGTTTCTCTGATTAATATTTACCACAAAAAAAGATTAATGGTACATAGTAAATTCTTAGTAATTACATAATAATATTTTTATAATAAATAAATTTTAAAGGGTAAACTTTAAGAGAAAATTCTCTCTGTGTAGATATCTTTCGTCCTCGATTAGAGGGATCAGGAAAAAGAGAGGATAAGAAGAAATTTTGAAGTGTCTTATTTATTTGTCAATTACTGTAGATGGTAGACAATGATGATTTTATATGATTAATAAAAAAAAAATTGCTATATGTTTTTGCGTCTTCTGAGTGTTCAACTATGGACATCATCATGTTGGAGTCCTTTGAAAATTTTGATTCAAAATACTGCGAATAATTGCAGTACGTCACAATTGAGACTCTACATCGCGACAGACCGTGACATAACTATAGTATTAGAGATGAAGTTAGAAGTCTCTCGGAGATATCGAAATCGTGTCTAAAGGTTCACTCAAACATCCTAGCAATCAGTCTGATGAATTCTCGCTGCGAAGAAAGAATCTATTTGGCGCCTGAAAAGGAAAATTCTGCAAGACCTTCTAAATTAAGAAGGAAAAATAAAAGGATGAGCTCTGCTGAGCTCAAACCCTTCAGGCGACCACCAACACACATACCTCGCTAAATATCGCTAATGGAACGAATTGCAAAGGTTGTTGGAGTTTAAAAAAAGAACGAGAAACAACTTTTACGACTTGGGAAAAATTGACAAACCAATGACAAAGATCACCATCTTATCCTCCTTTCTCTAATGGAAGGAATCACGATAAACTATAATAAGACAGTAATATTGTAAAATCATTGTTCGCGCGGACGCAATAAATTCTCGTATGTCGGAGAGATATACGAACGTAAAATATATTCAATCCTCCTAGAGATCTTTGTTCTTTCGCCGATGTAATTCGATTTTAAGGAGGAGATTCTAGCATTTTAGCACAAACTCTAATTTCAGTATTGCCTTTGGAGGAGGACGGGTCGTCTTCTCCAGGAAACAAAAGAAGCAGTTGTAACGATCGTGTGTGTGTATGTGTGTGTGTGTGTGTTGCAGAAAGCTTTCCTACAGAGCAGGTCTATCTCCCTGGTCGACATGTATATCGATAATTCGGAGCCGAGCGAGAACGTCGGCCAGATCCACTTCAGCCTCGAGTACGACTTCCAGAACAGCACGCTTATTCTGCGCATCATACAGGTAGGTATATCCAAGTTTTCCTTGCACAATGATGCGTGCCAGAACTTGGCTCTTCAAACTTTAACTCGCCACCAGTTTATTTTGCTATTAAGCGTGTTTGCATGTGTCGGTTGCACGGGATCGGAGTATTGCGCAACTATAGAGATAATAATAACAATAATAATAATATAAATGATAGGGAGTACGAAGAGAGAGAGAGAGGGAGAGAGGATACAATATTATGCAGGGAATATCGATATTATATCGATATCCCCTGCATTGGTGCATAAAGATGTTTAACCGAATTATACATTGAAAACGTTTATCACATTAATAACGATGATGTTATGGTTGATAATTATACATTAATAATGATAAGAGATACGATCTTGTTATTGAAAATTACTTTTTAAAAATGATTTAATAATAATAACATGTTATTCTAAACGGATTGGACTGATATGCGTATTTCTCAGTATATCGACGCTTGTGTGCGTTCGATAGGATTTAAAAATATATAATAAATCGCTATCAGAAAAGCTGTCCTGTAATTGGTGGTACAACTGGAAAACTAATGATTCTGCATGAAAAAATAAATGGGGATGATAAAATATTTTTTTGCACAAGATTTTATTTTCGGCAAAATTAAAAATTTGAAAATTGAAAAATTGATAACACATATTACGTTTTTCTCTATTATTTATTACGATTATTGAATTTATTTCAACAGTGGTTATTAAAAAATATATGTATATATATGAAAGGACACGCAACATTTTTTCCTATTAAAAAGAAATAAAGTTATACATTTACCTATATTTTATAAGTTTTTCAGTGGAATTTCAATTACTTTAAATTGTTTTTTATCAAATGAAAAATGTTATATCTATTGTATATTGTTGTTGGATAATGTCATGATTATTTTCGAATTCTTAATTTTCTCGAAAATAAATAATCACATGAAATTTGATTCTATATTTCCAATAAATTTTTATTGGTAGAATTTTTTTTGATTTATACTTATATTATATGCGTTATGGATTTTTGGACGATGAGGATCGTCCATAAATCGTCGACGAGAAGACACCATTGTGCACCGAAACGTGGATGTGTGTACGAAATATCCTGCAAAACTGGGACGCCGTACATTACTTTATACAGTTACATAGAGACTACAAGAACTTTTAAAACTCAAACGCGGAAACACAGTCTCAGGAAAAAGAACGCGTTTAACACGAGGGCGGAAGGAGAGACTTCTCGTCGTAAACAGAAGCATAAATTACCGAATGTTGAATTTTTCCTCCCGCGCGATTTAATCCGACGTTAAGTGAAACATACTCGGTAGCCACCGGTCTACTCTCCCTTTGCACGACAAGGATTATCGTGCCAAGAGATCTCAACAGGGCATGCGTCCGCCATATTTACGCGATTATACTTTACACGGTACGCGACGACTAAAATTTTGTACTTCGTTACAATAAATTTCCGGTTCAAGCTTGAACGTGTAATTTCTCCAACCAGGAGAGATATATACCTGGAAGAATTTTATTATTACTATTATATGAAAGTGTAATGTATTTTTTTGATGATATAGAAGAGAGAATAAAATATATAACTATACGCGTGTGCTACTTTCTTTTTTTAGCGAAAAATTATAATGAATCGCTTAGTATTATCGCGCATTTATTAAAGAAGCACATGCTAGTGAAAAAAGTGTTATTTTTTGCTGAATTTGCATCCGACCTCTTTTTCTTGGCGAATATTTAATCGCACTTCGCTGTTGAATTATTTAATGAAGAACTTTTACGAGTGTGTTGTATATTTTCTGATCTGTTGCGTTTATATCGAACTATAAAAAAGAAATGTGATTGTTTCTGGCGTAAAACCACGCGTCTATAGAAATATTATATATAAAAGGATAGTAAAAAAATGGTAAAAGGATTATATTTCTAATTTTTGGGAGTATTAATAAGACGTGTGAAACGTGATTTTCTTACAAAGTCTCTCTCGCTGTTCGCGGGTGGTTCGATTAATTTAATATCTCGAAGTATTTTCTTCGCAACAAGCGTGCATTATAAATGGCTCGGAGTATACCTCGGATGAAAGTAGGACTCCTCATTCCGAAAAATTTCCATTCTCGCCATTTCCTGTGTTTCTCTCGTATGAAAATTTGTTGGCTTACGGAAAGTTCAACCGTGCATTCACCAAAGATATCGCGTTTATTCGATTTATGTCCAATATCTTTGTGCAAGTTCGAAAGTAGAGACTTCTTTACAGAAATATACATGTAAATATATAACACATGCAAGATGTTGTACAGAATTATATCTGCAAGCACCAGTCATATTTACAGCTAAGTTTCATTCGCGAATTCAATTTATAGGATCTTATTTTCTCTTAAACAAAAATCAGAGAAAAGAATTTTATACCTATGCACGCAATCTTAATTTTCAGCAATATATTTTTGACAATTATGCATCGTATTAAAATTCTCGTTTAAGTAATGTTTATTTAAAACTAAATGCTTATAAAGAATGAACTATTAAGAATTCAGAAGTAAACGATTTTAATAAATAATTTTTGGAAATTCGCATGAGGCCATTTATCTTTTCAGCGCTTAGAATATTAAAAAAAAAAAAATATGCGAATTCAATTTATAGGATCACATTTTTTCTTAAACAAAAATTAGAGAAAAGAATTTTATACCTACGCACGCGATCTTAATTTTCAGCAATATATTTTTGACAATTATGCATCGTATTAAAATTTTCGTTTAAGTAATGTCTATTTAAAACTAAATGCTTATAAAGAATGAACTATTAAGAATTCAGAAGTAAACGATTTTAATAAATAATCTTTTGAAATTCGCATGAGGTCATTTATCTTTTCAGCGCTTAGAATATTAAAAAAAAACGAATTATGTTACATTGGAAAATGATTTCTTCAAACTTTCACACATCTTCGTATTCTAAATGCGCGGCGTCGTTCATCTCCGAGAGTTTGACTCGTCATAATGACATTACGAAGTTCGGGAGAGACAGCTTCTGACAGGCGGATGAGAAATGATCGTTCATCCCGAGGCGTGAAGATGCCTCCAAGGTCACTACTGAGCTTTCAAATAAGCGGAGAGTGACTTTTATAGAAAGTTTGGCAGCCACTCTTCGGGAGTGCGAAAATTCTTTGAGCTTCGCGAAAAAACATATATGGGGTGGCTATCAAAGCCACGTTACGAGCTTATATACGTTCTTATTGATTGCTCCACGTCTGGTGGAGTCTACCTACCTCCAATTAACAGCATCGATTCTATGTTGAGCACACGAGAGAACCGCTTATATTCTGCTGACGACGCTGGTTAGATATATCGCACACATGCACAAGTAAAGGCTGTTGCGCATCGCACAATTACTGAATTCTCCTACCTATAGAAAGTTACGTTGGAGGACCGCCGATAACTTTGTAAGATAGAGACAAAGACAAGTTTAATGGACAGATGCATCGTTACTTGAATTCGCAAACTTACCGAATATCCCTTTAGCGGTTGGATTCTCTGGTCAATTTGAAGTCGATTTTCCTTTAGCGAATTTCCTTTAGCGAACATGTCGAGGAAGCTCATGATTTTCTGCGAGTTTCCAATTTCCTTCGTCGTATATCTATATTAACTGCAATTCAAGGTTGTATTAAAATAAATTTTCAAAATTCTCTGAATTATAAATGAAGAATGCAGTTTTGCTTTCGAACTTTTTGAGTCTATAAAGTTTAGTTTGCGAGAAATTGTTTTTAAATTGACCAGATAATCTGTTAAAGAAACTTTTTGGTTTTGAAACATTTTACATAGTGTCATAAATAAACCATGCACAACAGATGTTTAGATACATGAAAATATTACAAACGAGACCGAATTATGATGCTTGGCATTTTTAAATCTTTATTCAGGATATAGCTTATCTCGAAAATGTTGAATTACATATTAATCAATATTTTTATTACTTATTTTAGTGTGGAATTTACATCGTACGTGTAAAATTTTATATCATTACTTTTGTTAACTAGGTGCTTTATCTATATTTTTTAAAGAAGATGTACTTTCTATTTTTCTTTCTTATTCTTATAAATTCTTAATATTTTGCAGACGCTTAATATTATACTAATGAGAAATCCGGTCTTGTTTGTCAGATCACGCAAGAGTATTATACATACAGATTATGCAGAGACTTACATCGAATCTCGCTCTTCGTATAAAGAAGACTTTCTCTACTTCAGCTACGCCAAATCTGCATGTCTCGTCGCGAAAAGCTTCTCGTTCTTTAAAATTCCTACTTAGTCATCTTTATATATATGTATATATATACCTTCATTGTGCTTCAGGGTAAAGATCTGCCGGCGAAGGACCTGTCAGGCACTTCCGATCCGTACGTCCGCGTGACGTTGCTTCCGGACAAGAAACACCGACTCGAGACAAAAATCAAAAGACGTACGTTGAACCCGAGATGGAACGAGACCTTTTATTTCGAAGGTGAGCGCACATTTTGCACAATGCTATTAATTTCATTTTTCCGAAAGCGATTTTTATGAAACACGATCAAAAAGTTAGACGACATCGTCTAGAAAATTAGGGCGAAATAGCGTAGTTTTCTGCGAAAATTCAATATATATAAAGATTATATTTAATAATAGAACAAAAATTATATTTTATAATATATATATATATATATATATATATTTTTTTTTTTTAACGTAAACGAGCAGAATTATGTTAAAATATATTTTGAACATAAAAAGAAACAATAAATTATACACAGAGAGAATTTTCCGATTTATTTTGTCGTAAACTTCACTACAAATTTTATCATGTTTGATAATAAGCGGAAAATTACCATGCTGCATATTGAAATTGTCATGAACAATTAAGCTGGAATTGAAAATATGCTGCTGCATTGTAAAATTATATATATGTATATATAATACCCTACTATAAAACATTTATATGTTACATATTATAAAATATTTTATACAAATTTATTTTATGTTTATCACTTTTTAGTATTTATTCTATTTAAATAAACACTTAAAGAATCTCATAAGTTTTTAATATATTTTTAAATTATTGAATTTTTAGTAAAATCAATCAAACATATTTTATATCCTATTGTGATAGAAATAACTTTTATTGTGGTAAATATATATATTAATTAAAGAAACTCTTTTTTATAAAATTCTTCCAGTACCATATTTAATACCCGCACGATTACCATGCATTTCAAAATAAATTCTAAGAGAAAATTCTCTCTGATGTGTATTATTACATCTCCATTATCATATATTGATACAGAAGACAAATTGCTAAAATTGTGAGAAAGTAAATGAAATTAGGCAAATAGAATTATGATAATTCAAAGCGTGCGCATTTATGTCTCGACAGGTTTCCCCATACAGAAACTGCAGAGCAGGGTATTACATCTGCATGTCTTCGACTACGATCGATTCTCGAGGGACGACTCCATAGGGGAAATGTTTCTGCCGCTTTGCCAGGTAATTTGGCGAGACGCGTCTTCCTCTCCTTCTCGTTATCGCTCTCTTGCAATTTGCGCGGTTCAATTATTACTCGCGGCTTAAGGGATTCGCGTGAAGGGTACAGAGAATCTGACGCGTCTCTCTGTCACCTTAGATCTGTCTCGGAATCGGCTTCCACGGCCTCTTACTCCATAATTATCATCCGCCGTCGCGAGATGAAATTATCAATCTAACGGATGAGCACGCGAATTGATTGATTACTTTGGAGAAATCATGAGAGAGAGAGAGAGAGAGGGAAAGATTTGACAGATGCGCTTCTCCTTGAATTTGTCGAAATAATTCTTTTGTGTTAAAATAAAGTCGGATTATAAATATATTTTTTTACAATGATATTATGATTATACGGATTTTCTATAACTGGATAATTGCAATTGGAAAAGGATAATAATTTAAAAATAAAATATATAAAACATTGATTTATTTTTTAATTAAAAGTTGGCTTTAATTTTTCTCGATTATATCATTAGTCCGTCATTCTATTATTTAACAGGAAATATTATCGGTATTATGTTACTTTTTTCACTTCTATATTTTTTATATGCTGTATAATAGAGAAATATTATGAGTTCAAATTTAAATATATTACATAGATATAAATTAAACAAGAAAATAATCTTTATAAATTTACAGACGTAATTTTGAAATATGCGTACTCTTAATAAACAGAATAATTTCATGAAAAATTCAGGAAGTAAGATCAATCGAGGTTCTGCGAAATTATGTTTTATTTGAGAGAGCGTAAGTAAATGAGTTTTAATTTACTAATCCGGCGATGTCGGCGGAACATTTAGCAGCATAACTCTAATCTGCGGTATCAATATTACCGAGAGAGAGAGAGAGAGAGAGAGAGAGAGAGAGAGAGAGAGTTATAATCTGCACGCGCAATAACATAGGGGACACGTGCGCGTGATAATTCTATGCGTTGTTGCACATATTCATTTCCCAAGAGCGATACCTGCATTCGCCAGCATCGCGGATCAGTCGTTTCGTGCATATCGTGCAGCTGAGCATATATAGATAGAAAGATTGATTATTAAAAAAAATGATATTGATATCAGCAATATTGATATTAATAATATCAGAAAACGCATTAATAATCAAAAAAGTTATAAAAAATATGTTATATAATTATGTTTTGTAAGTGTATAAAATTATAAATATAATATATAAATATACTTTACAATATATATATATATATATATATATATATATATAAATTAATAATATAATGGAAACGCAAGACAATATTAATGATATTATTTATGAGAAAGTGAAATTTAATTCGCTAATCATGTCGGCGGAGCACTTAGCAACGTAACCCTGGTCCTATATCAATATTATTATTATGGAAAGACGAGACATTAATAATATAATGCTCACGCTAATAACAGCAATAATAATTATAATTAAATACCGTAATTATTCGAGAAAAAAGTTTCTGTTTTTTTTTTATTCGTAAGTTAGTGCTTCAACAACGAATTAAATTGCTCAAATTTGACATATTTGCGCGATTCGGAACGTTTTATGTCGCAAAAATTCCACATTTCTAATTCGCAGCATACGATAGCAATTAATTATTATGTCTGCATGTGACCGCTTGGAATAGAACGTGTAATTAGTGCACGTTCGCTATATATTCCCTAATAAGGGGCAAACGTGACGAAGGTAATAATGATAACATGGCGAACGTTGCCTTTCCTCTATATAATAATTTTTCATAAAGACATATAAACACGCAGACACAAACATGCATGCGGAGAATCTTGTTTCTTCTTCTTTTTTTATTTCATTATTTTCCTTTCTAAAAAAAAGGCATGCAAAGTTGATTATCGCAAATATTGTTGCTGTTTTTCCGCGATGCTGATTTACCTTGATTAACATTGTGTGTTATATTAATAGCATCAAATAATTACCATCGTGAAGGTAAATAGTTTGACAGTTGTAAAATAAATAATAAAAATATTATTAATAACGCGCGCGAAGCGCATAAAAATACATTAATTAATTATGCAACGCATAAAAATTCAATATTTAAATCTTTAACAGAAAATACGAACGAAGAAATAAAATTTTCTACAAGAATCTTTTGTGATTAAATATCTACTAATAGAATATATAAATATAATACTAATAGATATATACCAATAGAAATAAATATAAATATAATACTAATAAATATATACTAATAGAATATATAGATAATAGAAATTCGGTGAATTAATATTATATACATAATAGAAATTCAGGAATTAAAATTATGTACATAATATTAATTCGCCGAATTTCTATTGTAATGTTTGAGAACTATATATATATATATATTTCTTATTTCATTTGGTTTAATCGAATATAATTACGTGCACAAAGCAAAGTTATATTATTTTTGATAATAAAATCTTAAAAATTGCAACGCATGTATAAAATAATTATTGGAATGCATGCATAAAAATATATTTATTAATTAATTCATAAAAATTCAATATATACATTTTTAACAGAAAACAAAAAGAAATAGAAATTTCTCGATAAAAATATCTGCACTTCCATTAACTTCACAGTCAAGAATAAACTGGCCCGACGAAAGCATCTCTTTTTCTCTAGATCTCTTCCATCGGAGTTGTACACCCCACACATCTATCACGCTGCGCGTCCCGCGCGAAACTGATTTCGTGCGGGCTATCGCGAGCGCGGGACCGATGGTCACATGACCAGTGGTCACATGACTAGTGATCACGTGACCACTGGTCATGTGACCATCGGGCCCGCGCTCGCGATACCCCGCATAAGAATATTAAGAATCAGTCTCGCGCGAACCGCGCAGCGTAATGGGTAAGTGGAGTATAGAGTTTTGCACGAGTCTAATAAAAGCGTAGATATTTAATCACAAAAGATTCTTGTATAAAATTTTATTTTTTTGGTTGTATTTTTGCAAAAAATTTAAATATTGAATTTTTATGCGTTGCATAATTAATTAATATATTTTTTATGCATTGATCGCAATAATAATTTACAACATCAGAGTTGTACACCCCACACATTTATCACGCTGCACGTCTTGCGCGAAACTGATTTCGTGCGGGGTATCGCGAGCGCGGGATCGATGGTCACATGATCATTGGTCACATGACCAATGGGTCCCCGACTGGTCACATGACCTCGCCTTCTGTCGATATAAATAGAGAAAAATATTCTTTTTTTTCTGTGGAAAATTCTTTAACTCGTTATATAATTAGATCGAAAATTCTACGAGTTACATCAGTAATATGATACTGAAAATACAACAGTTATCGATAACATCTCGCGGATTTGTCGTAGGTCGATCTATCGGAGAAACCGTCGTTTTGGAAGGCTCTTAAACCCCCGGCTAAGGATAAATGCGGAGAACTCTTGTGCTCGCTGTGCTATCATCCAAGTAATTCCATATTGACGTTGACTCTCTTGAAGGCGAGGAATCTTAAAGCTAAGGACATTAACGGAAAATCAGGTAACATTACATCGTTCTTATATTGTTCCTACGTAGTTTTATAATCCCTGGCTCACAATAGGAGCTTTAAACCTTAAGCCTTAAGAAATCGACCAATCGCAGTCAAGTATGAGGAGAATACTTCACTGTAATTGGCTAATTTCTTAAGGCTTAGAGTTTAAATCATCTATTGTGGACCAGAGTAAATCGCGATCTTCTTCGAAAAATTATGTTTTAATGTCTATTTTTTTTTTTTAAGAAACTGGAACATATATTTGCGCTACGAAAATATAACTATTTTTAAAAATAAAAATTATACATAATATGATGATGTATTCTGTTTTATTTCTTGTTACTCGTTTAAAGGAATGAGAGACTCAATTGTTAATATTTGCGATTTCCAGATCCGTATGTCAAGGTGTGGCTGCAATTTGGTGACAAGAGGATCGAGAAACGTAAGACTCCGATCTTCAAATGCACCTTGAACCCCGTATTCAACGAGGTATTCTCCTTCAATGTACCATGGGAGAAAATCAGAGAATGCTCTTTGGATGTTATGGTAATGGATTTCGACAACATTGGACGAAACGAACTGATCGGCCGGATTCAGCTCGCAGGTATCTTGAATTTTTTCCAATAATGAACTCTTGCCTTAAAATAGAATTCGTATTACATCAATGGTATTCATATTTAAAACAGGAAAAGGATCGCATAATTGACATAGATTTCTTAAACAAATATATTTTTATTATTCAACAGTTTGAAAGAAATCCCCAATATTCATATTATATAAATCCTGCAAATATTTATTAAGCTTGTCTGGATGAAAATCCTGGCCAGAATTCCAACATAATATCCATTAAAAATATTCGAAATTCCAGATCTTTTTTCCCCATCGAAATACATAATATTGTGTATTTTTTTTTCCCGTTTGAACGTCGAAACATTGTAGTAATGGATATCGGGGGATAGAAATTGAAATCCGATGTTGAGTGTATGTACATAGAGCGTAAATTCCTTTCCAGGGAAAATGGAAGTGGCGCGAGCGAAACGAAGCACTGGCAGGATATGATCACAAAGCCGAGGCAGACCATCGTGCAATGGCATCGCTTGAAGCCCGAGTAAGGAGAACGAGGCTTAACTTGATCGACGATAATTGATATTCTAGTCGAGCGAGTCCCTTTCCTCGTAATCCCCATCGCACTCTTCCTATGCACGTCAAAAAAATTATGTTAACGAGCTTTTCTTTTGCTCGATAATCCCTGCAACAGATATCTTCTGCCATCCTCCCTCCTGACAAGTGTACCATTCGACGAGACTGTACCGGATGTATCTTCTACATCGCGTAGGGCACTTTTAGCGACGCTGGTCGTCGGGAAGCCGTGCCGACGAGAATCGCGTTTAATCGCGATTAAAAACGACGGAAGGCACTTTTTCGCGTTATCTGCTTGTTATATTAAGGGGTCATCATCGTGTCGCCTATTAGCGAGCGATAACGATGAAAAAAATGGTTGTTCTATCGTTGGTGAAACGATATGAACCTTGAAGCGAGACGGAATGTTTCTAAAACGCATCGTTCGATATCGCCGAGATAAGCCACGCTTTCTCGAATTTCTCGCGGAAATTATTAGCCGAATGACGGCGCGCGTATATCAAGAAGTAGAACACGAAATCGGGAAGCTTTTCGTCGGGAAACGCCGTTCTTTCTTTACTTTCATCATCTTCTCTTTCCAACCTTTTCCGTATTCATCTCTCGTTGCCGCTCCTGGCTACGATGTTCATTGACTACGAAAAATTATGCTGTGAATACCCAATCTCTCAGTTATGCATTCGCTATCCCAGAACGACGAGCTCCAATCCGGACGAAACGGAACGTTTAAATATTTTAGACGTTGTTTAAGCGTCCTCTTTCAGACAGACGTCTCTTTACGGGCTTTTGTATTATATGTTCGCGTCTGCGCGCTCTTGCGGCGAAATTATATCAGAGAGAATCGTGCGGACTCTAAAAATTGACAAGGGGCAAGTAAGAGAGTAAAGGGATACGTCGATACTTTTACGAAGGGGAAGCGTTAGTTTTGTGACGATGAATTATATAGTGTTTTTCTAGCACACGTGATATCAATAATTCTAGCGATGCGAAGCATTTCGGTGAGATTTGTTCGACAGACGGGGAGACTGTGCGTACAATATTAAATTTTAAACCACTGTGATCATTCATTCAAGATTAAAGGCGATAAAATCGTGCAACGATATACGTATTTGCCCTCTTTTACTTGCCCCTCCGACCGTCTAGTTGAAAAACATTATTTCGCGCCAAGAAAGCGGAACCTGAAATAGCAAAGTATTCATGAGCTTTTCGGAAAAAAAAAAAAAAAAAAAACCGACAAGTACCATTTCAGCATGACATGTTATAAATCTGCATTCGTAATATTTATATATTTACGATAAACGTTATTGCGCATTTATAGAATTACATGACCAGGATATATCGATACGTAGGCGAGAGACACGCATCTCTGTTATATTTGTAAAATTCATCCTTTCCAGGATCTCTCCGTGTGATTAAAAATCCCGGCAAGATGGTAAGACGAGAAATGTTACGACAAACGAACGCATTTACGTTTATTTGATATAACATTTTTTTTGTGTATTTATTTTTTTACTTTAAAAATTACACCTGCCTTATTTTGAAATGCTCGTGAAAATCTCTGACAGAATTTCCCAAAGACATATTTTTAGATACGACCGATTAAATTAAAAACAAGAATTATAAAATTATTTTCTATTCGTATCGTTATTTTTTAAACATGCAAAGCCATTTTGGGTTCTTTAGACTTTTAATTCAATATATAATATTTAGATTTAAAAGAGTCATTATTACATCGATTTGTATATAAATGCAAAAATTTGCATAACTTTTAAAACATTTTCTGTGCTACTTTGTTTCATATACATATATATATATAGATATAGAGATATATATATATAGATATTTTTACATATATAGAAATTACAGATAAATAGATATAAAAGGGTATAGATAATATGTATATATATATATATATAATATATATATATATATATATATATATATATATATATATATAATGGATGTGATAGATATAAATTCTTTTAAAAAATAATATATATATATATATTTATATATTAATTTATATTTATATCTATATATATATATATATATATAAAAGTATATATAATGTTATATGGATTAATATATAATTATGTATAATATATATAAACATCACTCTCTCTTTTTGGTCGTAACTAAAAGCATGTCAGAAGTAAAGTTTCGCGATGGTATCCAGACCTACGTCAAATGTGCTTTTAGGATTACTTTTGCCAACAAAGTTTTGAAACCGAACGATCCTATCGGGGCAACCTTGTTTTCCGTTGCGTACAAGCGATCACTTTTAGGGATAATCCGATTTATTGTTAGTAGATTATTTCTAATTTAACCTTGCTCTCTCGAGAGTATATATATATATATATATTTCTGACTTTTGTGCTCTCCGATGTCTTTCTTTTATTACAAAATAGAAACATATGGTTAGTACGATGATTGGTTTGGGCGCAAGCGACACGTATCGGCGCAATTATTAAAAATAGCGTCAGCTTCTTCACCGAAAAGTTGAAAGTTGGTCAAACATTGTAGTAGTTTTCAACGTTGATATTTTTGTGATGTAGTGAAAGCTTCGAAGCTGCGAGGAAGAACGGGCGAGATAAATATAAATTGTAACGTAAAACTGTGTTATATCACACAAAAAGACACAACACGCATACACACAAGATATACATGAGAACGTAGCCCTTCCCATGGGCAAACACATTTCGAGATAATCCCTAGAAGACAAGCGATGTTCTTGTAGGGACGGGCAATAATTAGCGAGTAACCAGTCGTTTTAACCATAAGAACACGAGCGATTCATTAAAACTGAAGATCTATAGCGAGCCGCTCAAAAAGAACTTTTCAAGTTAAATATTTCCAAAAAATATATGAAGGATGACTAAAGTAAATAACGATAGAGCTGAATGTTTGTAGCAAACGCTTTATTTTATATAAATCTTGAGGCAGGAGCGATAGTCGAATATATAGTAATTGATCATAATTGGCATATGTGCTAATTGAGACGCTTCTCAACATGCAATTCCGCTAACATTTTGTCTAGTTTAATCAGTGTCAGATCCCTCGCGCGATCAGTTATTGACGCACAAGTGTTAGAAATAAAGGGAAAACAAGTAATTTAATATAACGACTGGTTAAGACGAAAGGTGAAATAATTAGTTGTCGAAACGATTCGATTAGTTTAGCCCGTTCCTACTCCGTTGTTAGTTACGCTTGGCTAGGCGTTGATCGCGATTACCCGAAGTAATCCTACACGAATTTCTTTGTGGCTGACACGACCTTCGATTATTCGAACTTAAAGCCCGGTAAAAAAAAAAGGGAGAGAGATATTTTTGACGGCACTTTTGTATCGAGTAAAGAGTCAGGGGGCTTTATTTGCGGGATTACTCGCTCTTGAAGAGAGCGCGATCGGTGCAGCTTAATATTACGCATCGAGAGAGGGAAAGGAAAACAAAATAAAACGATAATGTTATGTTATACCCGATAGTCTGCTGTTGTTAACAATAATATAGAGACACACGAGACAAATTCGTTTGTGAATTTGCTCGGTACACTCCGGAGAGAGTGTACGCCGTTGATGTAAAAAAAAAAGATGAAAACAAAAAAAACAGAAAAAGGACGAAATGATCCATGTTACATTTAAACCAAGTCTTAGCGTTAAGCGTCGTTCGCATCTGGGAAGTTTCTCGGAGGAAAGCGTTAACGAAATTAACCGGAAGTCGAACGAGATGGGAAGATTCAGTTACTCTCTTAAATAACTTTGAAAACAAATCGGAGGATTCGATTTATATCTCGTATATATTTGCCCCCGCTCAATTAGACTCTCTTAATCGTTACTTTTTTTCCAAATTACTTTCGCAATAACGAGAAGAAAAATAAAATAAAAAAATGTGTGATAAAAGCATGCAAATTTATTGCAGTACAATGCAAGAAAGTCTTTCTTTCCTCGCGAGAAACTTTCGAAACGCGCACGTGGCTCTTTTAGTGACGTTTCCTCGCGTACGAACGGGTTATATCGCAAATTAGCGGAGTGTCGCGAGATCGCGATCAACTTGACAGCACAGTTTTTTCTCTCTCGAGTGTGCGTTCGGCGTGACGAAACAGAAGAATATTGTTATTAAGGATTTACTTATACCCACACACTCCCTGTTCCTTATCCTTATCTACCTATTCCTTCCCTTATCCCTTCCTCCCCGGCTCCCTTTTGCAATCGCGACAAATACATCCCGGAAATATTTTTACATTTAAGCGTTACATATTTGGATCGAAGGTGTTACCGATTTTTCGTAATTACAATAGCCTTCTAGCGCTCGCGCGCGGAAGAGAGAAGACATCGTAGAGATTAGTGAAACATGAAGAGCGAGTGTAAAAAAAAATAGTTTATTATAAATATATGTACATATATATATATAATACGTATATATTTATATACATACATACATATATATTATATATGTATGTATACATATATTATACATATATGTATATATACATATGTATGGATGCATACATATATATATATATATATATGTGTACATATATATATATACACATACACACGCAAAATTTGTGCGAGTAAATGGTTATATTGGTATATATTATGCGGAAGTATATCGAGTAGCACAAAGGATTAGATTAATATTTGTATGTCGTAGTCTGTATACATTGTATATAAGAGTGTTTCCCGGTTTACGTATCACGTTAAAATGATGGTATATACAAAAAAACACATGAGTGCTTGCAAAAACAAAGTTTGTTACCGCGAAATTTTAACGCACGAAATTTTAACCCGCTCCTCTTCCTTTTACAGTTAAAAAATATTGTTGTTCCCGTTGAAGAGAGAAATAGATGACCCTCTCCCTCTCCTCTCTCTCTCTCTCTCTCTCTCTTTCGATTACCTCAGTTTGGATTTTTATTTTTTACGTTACTCTTTTAGGGAGATTTTAATAGCAATCGAAAAATACGCGCGAAATGTATTTTATATCTTTTCGTTATATTTTATAATAATAATTTTAGCTTCTCAAACGCGATTAAAATACATTCGAAGTCAGTTTTAATTTATCCCAATGATACGGACGCTTCTCTATCATTTATCCTCGAAAACAGTGATTTTCCTGGCCACTTTTCGAAGATAATTATTATTGATACGAAAATATATAACACAAGGTGCCAAAAAATGAATATAGAACACGTAAGATCATTTTTTCTCGCGCAAACGATCACATGATCATGCGAAATCGCGTATACGACTGTTGTGATGAAGATAAGAGAGATAATTAGCACACGCGATTAAGCGGATTTAGATGTGTGTCTACATTTCAACCTTTTGTACAGAATAAACGGAGTAACGATCTGCGTGTTTTTTTTTTTTTACGTTGTAGCAAAACGAGAACGATTCTCTTCAATGAAGACCGCGATGTTCATTTTTTTTAATTATCTTGTAATTTTTTTACGTGTTTTTATTGTTCTTTGTTCATTGATCTGTCCGAATTTTTTTATTGCAAATTTTTTTTTCTTCGACAAACTATAGTTAGTTTAATGAAATTTCTTAATTATAATAAATCAAATAAATTTCTTATTGATACGTTCCTTATTTAATCAGTTTTCATATCGCTGGATCTCTCATTCGAGAGACATATTAACATAAATAATAGATTTATTCATTAATCTTTATTAAAAATTTCTTATTTGATCAGTTTTATATTTGCCGAACTTCCAGTTCAAGTGACATAAAAAATTCCTTGCATTGACGATTACTGTTTAAAAATGGATCGTTTGATAAGAATCTAATTGCTGCTGCAACGTTGCAAAATGTCAGATGATTTGCCGAGACACACTTGTCAACTAACAGCTCTCTCAATAGTGTATACCTCGATTTGTTCCTTCTCTTAAGCTTTCCACACATACACACACACACACACCCACAGTGAGAACCATAGTATTTCCCGCGATGACTCGTTCTCCACCTTCCAGTCGTTCCATTTTGATGTCGATAGCGTGTCGTATCTTTCTGACAGTTTCTCATTGTTACATTTCCTTTCTTACCTCGTCCGATCCCATCCTCCTTACGTTACCATGGTTTTAACGTTTGTTATAGACTGGGTTGAACGTGTAATGTTTAAGTACTTAGTCTTAAAGCGAAATGTCGTGTGTGTTAGGCGTACTATAATCCGTATCGTGATACATATATGTCGAAGCGTAGTCATAGAGTAATTTAGTTGAGGATAAGAGCCGAA